TGAACATCAGACAGTTGATTATCAAAAGTGACAGTAGACTGTCTCCCTACACTATTGAAGAAAATGAAGCTAATAGTTAATAATTGAATTTCCTATCATATATTAATCAGTTATTGTTTAGAAAACATGATTTTTGAACTATGAAATCCTATTTTTGATACCAATTAATTATGCATAATATAACTATGATTTTGTATAATAAAAATGAGGTTTTTGGCATATAAAATACTATGTGATGCATGACGGTAAGTTCGGGTGTTAACACTCGAGACTAGGCCGCTATTTGTTATTATGCATTATGACGATTGTTTAATTATTGATTATAATAAATTAATGATGATGAACGTTTTGAATGATGATCATGAATTGTTAAAGTGAAAATAATGAATTAATGAATCGTATTGTTAAGGATATCTAGAACAACTATAAGATATACCCACTTGTATATTGATGATGATTATTAAGGATATCTAGAAGAACTCTAAGATATACCTCCTTGACCAATTCATATTTCGGGGTTAAAACGTACGTACGGGATCCAGACCGGATATCACCCACCCGACAAATCATTGTTCGGTTGGTACGTAATCCACATGACTCATAGGGTGGATTATTGATTCTTGTGTTCTGCATTAAACTATTTATAGTTTAAGGGCCTGGTTAGAAATGTTGCCTTAGACTAGGAATAGCTAAGAGCTTGTTATAAAATGATTTGACCTTAGATTAAGAATAATTTAAGAGCATGGTTGAGATATTGAATATCGAATGACTTGGAATAAAATATTGAGAATATCATGAATGTTTGAATCATATATTGTGTGCATGATATCAAATGGTTGATTATGAATTGAGATTTGATTTATTTGGATGTTCGACGCTTTAAATATGCTTACTCAGCTTCATCGCTGAGCGTGTAGTATGTTTTATTTGCTACACGCAGGTAGACAGAATGAGTGAATGGCATGTTCTTGGCAGCGGAAGGGGCGAGACAGTCGTGGTGGATTTATTGAGAAAATAAATGATTCTGTTATTACGAACCATGTTTAAAAATCGCTTCCGCATTAAACACTCCGTATTTACTACAATTATGTTTGAAATTTCATTTATGATGAATAAAGTTATTTGAAATGTTTTAAATTATACGATTACCAAGTTAATACTTTAGTTCGGAAGGGGTTGTAAACCTGGACGGATTAGGGTGTTACAGTAATAATTTGAGAATGAGCAATATCAAATATTTTAATTTCATTGATCCGCCAATTATTATTATTTTGCAGTTATATACACGATAGAGTTCCAAGATTTCCTGAAATAACAAGACATGTACAGAGCAAAGGACTTAACCCGGAAGACCGTCCTGATGTTTTGTGTCCTGTTTTTAAGTTGAAGTTGGATATGCTGATTATAGATTTGCGCAAAATTTGAGAATGAGCAATATCAAATATTTTAATTTCATTGATCCGCCAATTATTATTATTTTGCAGTTATATACACTATTGAGTTCCAAAAACGCGGATTGCCACATGCCCACATTTTGTTTTTCATTAATAGGGACCAATCGGGTATTTCTACGGTTGACATTTGATAACATCATTTCTGCGGAAATACCCAATGAAGAGCTTGATCCAACATACTATGCTGCAGTTCGGGACTGTATGGTACATGGCCCGTGTGGTATTGCAAGACCAAACTCACCATGCATGAAGGATGGGAAATGCACAAAACACTATCCCAAACGATTTGTCGATAACACGTGTTTAGATGAAGAAGGTTATCCCATTTACCGAAGACGGGATAACGGCAGAAATGTTGTTAAGAATGATGTAACCTTAGACAACCGACATGTTGTGCCCCACAATCGCTACTTATTGATGAAATATGGTGCTCACATTAATGTTGAATGGTGTAATCAATCTCGATCCATAAAATATCTATTCAAATATGTGAACAAGGGTCATGATCATGTTACTGCATCATTTTATGCAAGTGGAACAGAAACACCCAACGTAAAGGAAGTGGACTAGGTCGACATGTACTATGATTGTAGGTACATTTCACCTTGTGATGCATGTTAGCGGATATTTGGATTTCAAATACAACATCATGATCCTCCCGTGCAACGTCTTGCCTTTCACTTACCAAATCAGCAGAGCATTATATTTTCAGATAAGGAAGCATTGGAGAAGATCATAGCAAGGAATACATTAAACCAAAATATGTTTCTAGGCTAGTTTGAAGCAAATAAAATTTATGATGAAGCTCGGAGCTTGACATACGCAGAATTCCCAGAGAAATTTGTTTGGAAAAAGGATATAAAAGCGTGGCAACCGCGGAAGAGATGTTTTTGCATAGGCAGAATGTATTATGTCCCTCCAAGATCTGGTGAGGTATACTACTTGCGTTGTTTATTGAATGTTGTAAAAGGACCATGTTCGTTTGAAGACATTAGGACTGTAGAGGGAACTTTGTATCCCACCTTCCGTGATGCATGTGCGCATTAGGATTGGTAGAGGATGACAAAGAATATATTGATGCAATCATTGACGCAAGTAGCTGGTCCTCAGAGATGTCTTTGAGGAACTTATTTGCAACTTTGCTTATTTCTGGGTCATTAATCCGTCCCGAAGATGTATGGGAGAAATGTTGGACATATCTTTCAGCTGATATTCTATATCAACAACGGAGAATACTACAATACCCAGGTATAATTTAGAATTTTTAAGTTAACATCATTAATTTCATTAAATATCATTTAAAATGTTCACTGTTTATAATTTTCAGATTTACATTTGTCAGAAGAAGAGGTAAAGAATTATGCCCTCGCAGATATTGAAAAGCTTCTCCGCAGTCGTGGTAGGAGTTTGCATGATTTTCAATGTATGCCATTTCCAAGGGCCTAGTATCTACACAGTTCTGAAAACAGATTGATAAACGATGAAATGTGTTACGATCGGCATAATTTGTGCATTGAGCATGACAAGCTTTTATCAAAGTTAACTGACGAGCAAAGAGTTGTGTATTCCTCTTTCATTGAAGCAGTTGAAAAGAACATTGGTGGAATGTTTTTTGTGTATGGATATGAAGGAACGGGAAAGACATTCATTTGGAAAACACTATCGGCGGCAATTAAATCGAAAGGGGAGATAGTATTAAATGATGCGTCAAGTGGTATAGCTTCTCTATTATTGCCTGGTGGAAGAACAGCTCATTCACGTTTTAAAATTCCAATAATTGTTAACAAAGAGAGCATGTGCAGAATTACTCAAGGAAGTCCTTTAGCCCAGTTGTTAATTCAATGCAAATTGATTATATGGGACGAGGCGCCTATGATGCACAAACATTGTTTTGAAGCCTTAGATAGAACTATGCGGGATATATTACGTGTGGTGAATAAGGATAGCCAGGTCAAATCATTTGGAGGCAAAACAATTGTTTTTTGTGGTGATTTTAGACAGATACTACCAGTAATTTCCAAGGGTACTAGACAAGATATTGTTTTAGCCACCATTAATTCTTCATACTTGTGGTCTGATTGCAAGGTCCTGAGACTTACCAAGAACATGAGAGTTTCAAATGGAAAGGAGAGTGAGAGCACAGAAATTGAACGTTTTACGCGTTGCATAACAAATATTGATGATGGAAAAGTTGGTCCTCCTAATGATGGTTGTGCAAAAATTGAAATTCCATCAAATTTGCTGGTTGAACCGGGGAATAATCCTATAGGAAGAATGGTAGAAAAAATTTACATTGCATTTGCAACATATTTTGGTGAAGATGGTTTACTACAAGAAAGAGCAATCTTAGCCCCAACACTTGAATTAGTTGAATCAATAAATCAACACATGATCACAATGAATGCTGGAGATGAGAAGGTCTATTTGAGTGCCGATAGTGCTTGCCAATCTGATATGAATGCTTCTTTAGTTGGGGATTAATAGAGAAGCTATACCACAGAGTATTTGAACTCGATTAGATCTTCGGGAATTCCGAACCACAAACTAACACTAAAAGTTGGCACTCCGATAATGCTTTTGCGCAACATCGATCATGCTAATGGTCTGTGCAACGGATCACGTTTAATTGTTACAAGATGGTAATCGTTTGTTGGAAGCAAAGATGATTCATGGAAAAAATGCAGGACAAACGGTCTTAATACCACGAGTTTCATTGACTCCACAGATTGTCATTTAAGTTTCAAAGAAGACAATTTCCGGTTATGGTGTCATATGCAATGACCATAAACAAAAGTCAGGGACAGTCTCTCTCTCATGTTGGTTTATTCTTGAAAAAACCTGTTTTTAGTCACGGACAACTGTATGTCGCCATGTCGAGGGTACGATCTCGCGAGGGATTAAAAGTAATGATATGTAATTCTGATAATACTCCATGTAATACTACAGATAATGTAGCTATAAGGAGGTTTTTGAAAATGTATAATTGATGTTTAAACATAAGTTGTTTATTTTAATTCATTTGAATAGTATATATGTATGGAATAGTATGGTTTGAATGTTAGTGGTTTTATTTAAAATTAAATTTTTAATATGATATGTAGGTAGATGGACATATCTCCTTATTTATTAAATAATATTCAGTATCAACAATTCTCATATCTAAAGAAGTTTGTGATAAACTTTATCTCTCCGTGCATCGCACGAGTGATGCACTAGTACACGCTAATTAGGCTAGGCTAGGGAAGAGAGTTTCCCCAACAAGCCCATTCTCAAAGTCATCAAATTGCCATAAACCTCTCTCACTTTACCCTCAAGAAGTTGAATCCCTTTGTACAATTCATCACTGCTCCTTTGCAATTCCTCAACAATAACCCTAACCTGCTGAGGATTACTTATTCCGCACCCTTGAGATATCAAATCTTGACGTAGCTCTTGAGCCAGCCATACTGTCTTCTGCAATTCCCAAACTACCCCTTTCTTCTCGACGTGGGATACTTTGACACCCCTGCATTTCGATTTGGACAATGACAATGTGGAGTCAACAACTTCGAATAACGAGGAAGTGACGATCAGCGATTCGCGTAGAATCACTTGGGCCCTGCCACCAGAAGAACTTGATTTCGCGTAACGTCGGGCGATCTTCTTCCTCACTTTCTTTACCGATTTTGTAGGTCCCGTTCCCAATATGGATTCGCATGATGCCAACCGTTGATCTGCCCGAGAAACTGTTATTGGGCTGGGGGTGAATCCGGGTCGTCCTTTGAGAAGGCAAAGAGCAAAGCGAATAGACTCAATGTAGTTGGAGAAAATTTCCAATTTGCCCCCCAAAGCGTTGCAGGCATCGAGGAGCTCGACATTGTCGTCCAGATAATGTTCGATGGCTTCACGATCTGAGGCCCGAAATGGGGGGCTGGTGTCAAGAGATTCTTGGTCTAGCTTTTGGGTCACTGCCATGGCATCAAGAGCGTGAAGTAGGAAACAGAGGCGGACCCACGTTGAGTCCCACGGGGTCCCGGGACCCCACGGACCTCCACGTAGGATTTTATATATCTTAGGTACCCTTATATCTTAGTCTATATAAAACAAAAGCCTGGTAGTAAAACACTACCCGGAATGGTTGAGTGGAAGCGCGGCCGAGAATATTGAAGGGAGTTCCAGTGTTCGATTCTCCATCCATTCATTATGTTTTTTGTGAAACTCCATTTTATTCCTCAAGTATTCCAAAAGAGCATTTTTAATGCTATATTTTTTATTGAATTTTTTGAGGTAGTGTTTTTTTGTATTAAAATGCATTACTGCAATAGGCTTTCAATTTAAAGGCCTTGTTTGGTACACAAAATTGAAATGATTAAATTGAAATTTGAGATAACAAATTCCAATTTTATTGTTTGGCAGTACAAAAATATGTAGATTTGAAATTGATATTGTCAAAAATAAATTGAAATTGAAGAATTTATTCCATCCAAATCAATTCTACAGAATTTTAACTTTTAATTTAATTCCAATTCTGTCAATTCTGTGTACCAAACGGACCATATATATTACTCCCTCCGTCCCTAAATAAAGTTCCATTTTTGACTTTTTGAGGATTTAAGGGAGGGATATTTTTGTGTTGACTTTTCAAAAATACCCTTGATGTGATGTGTAAAAGTAAGATGTGATAGGTAGATTATTAGTAAAAAGGTATGATGTGATAGGTAGGATATGAAAAAATAATGGGTAAAAGAGGTTTTTTAAGGGGAAAGAGAGGTTTATTTAGGGACAAATAAAAAACGAAAGAGGAACTTTATTTAGGGACGGAGGGAGTAAATAATTATTACTCCCTCCGTCCGGAAATTTTCTTCCCGTGTTGACTTGGCACGCTTATTAAGGAATAGTAAAAAAAATGCAAAATTTTCAAAAATGCACATACTATAAACTTTTAAATCTCTTTTTATTATTAAAAAAGTATTAAAAAAGTAGATTTGTGATAAAATTAAAGGGTTTTATTGATATTTAGCCTTAAAAAGCATACTAAAAAAGGAAATGGGAAGATTATTTCCGGACGGACCAAAAAGGAAAATGGGAAGAATATTTCCGGACGGAGAGAGTAAAATTCTCTCAATTTGACCAACAAACTATCTAAATACAAGTGTTATTTAAATTTATTTAGTTTAATTCTTTTATGAGTGCTTTCAAATTTTAGTAGAGTTAGAAAATGAAATGAGTTGGAAAATGAAATGAGAACCTCCAATCTAACTACATCACCTCTATCCTCATATTTTAGTAATACACAAGAAATACAATATTGATTTCATTCCCCATTGTTACATGAAAAATCTAAAAAACGTATTTCGAAGTTTTAATTTATTTTGAATATAAAACATTAAAACTTCAAACTTGTACTCTTTCTGGGTATTCACAAATTGTGGGCATAGAATATATTGATGCATGTAAAAAGTTTACAATTTTTCTTGATCTTTTTAAATGTATCTTTTTCCTAAACAAATCTAATTTTCATTTTATTTCTATTCTTTTTACAACTTACTTCCATTCTTAAAATGTGATAAAGAAAGATTATGAATATGTCTAAATCTTTTGTTCTAAATTGAGGCTTTTGACAAAAAAAATCATTATATCAAATTAGTAATTTTTATCTTGAATAGTAGATTTTTTAGTTTATTTTTTTATAGTCTGTGAATAATTACGCAGTATAAATATATATTACTCCGTACAATTTTAAAAACGGGACCCCACGGTTCCCAATTCCTGGATCCGCCTCTGGTAGGAAATGAAGATTGGGAAAAGAGGAATAATAATTATCAGTAGTGGAAAATGAAGAGAGTGGTTTAAGGTTGGATTTGATTTGTTGGTTAAATGTGTTTTGGACGGGGAATGGAACCACCAAAGAAGATGAACTCTATAGTCTCAATTTGATGAGGTTTTTCCACATCATTGATGAAGTCATATATTGGCTTTGGGCTCTCTGTTTTGTGTCTATATATATAGGGAGTACTCACTCCAGCCTCAAAAGGGTAGATTTGCATTTTTTTAGGTAGAGAATTGAGTTGACACGACAAAAACTAATACAACTACCGTCCTCTTTGAAATTTTCCATTTTGATTTTGTATATAAACCTTTAAAACGTTGACTACAAAATATGAAAGAAATATACGGGTTATTGTTTTTTTAATAATATGCGGAGTATGCTACATATCCATCTACTCTCCCGTTCCGTTTTAAATCGTCTGTTTTGACTTTTGGGCATATTTCAGGAAGATTAAAAATATAGTTGATTTTCCGAAATTGTCATTACTTTTTAGGAGGGGTGACGATAAATGAGAAGATAAGGTGGAGAAGAGTGACTTATTTTAGTGGTAGTTTAGGTATTTTACTCTTAAAAGTTTACGATAATAAGTAACATGCAACTTATTTTGGGACGGAGAAAAAAGACAAACAGGCGATTTAAAATGGGACAGAGGGAGTACAAAGAAAGAGGATGGCGGAATTACTATTCCCGTCCCAAAATGTTTGTACTTTTTTTCTGCATTTAAATTTTACTAACTTTGACTATCAATTAAATAAAATTGACATTTGGTACTGATACAAAAATAGTTTTATCACATTTATCTTGTAAAATATTTACAAAATATTGGTTTATCTAATTGTTATATTGTGAAATATTTAATTAAAGGTCAAAGATAATTTTGGTCAACTGTAAAAACCAAAATTAGACAAACTTCCGAAAGGATGGAGTAAAATGGTACTCCGTAAAGGTAAATTTTTCCGTGATTCTAAGATACGTGCTCGAGTTATGGACCTTAGCTTAGTGCACTATATCGTAAAAGAATTGGGTATTTGACAAAAAAGAACGACTTGCCAGTACATGAAAAGTGTAACAAGATCCAAATTTTGCATGTGGACCTTCAGACCACGGAAGAATAACTTTGACGTAAATGATACTTTTAGAAATTTCCTTCTAGGATTCTCCTAAAATTTAGTTTTGAAGGAATATGATGTTAGATAGTTTTCTTTTTTACTCCAACTCCGCATTTAGACTTATAATAACAATCACATTAGGTAAACTAATACCTGTAATCCTACCTTATTCTTACTCTTTATTGTAGACATGCAAAAATATAGAATGTACCTTGTATATGTTCATATTTGTTTAAAAATATAGTCATATTATCTCTTGTGAGATAGAGTTTTTAATAGTGAAATTTACACTAAATAGTACTAAAGCGTTCTTTCCCAATGTAGTACTTAAACTTTTTTATTGCCTAAATAGTACTTGAATAATGTCTAGTAACGGGAACAATGTCCAGTGATGGTGGAAATTTAGTTAGAACAATGTCCAGTGGCGCTAGATATTTACTTAAAAAATGACCAGTGAACATTGAACAGTGGTACTACATTAATATCCTTTTTAGTTTTTAAATATAAAGTCTTTGTTCCAAAATAATTATGGCACTAAGTTTTGGTCTTTCGATAACTTTAGAGGGTTTTATGTTTCTACTCCAATTTTGGATTTTAATCAATATTTTACTCCTACTTTACTTTTTAACCCTAGAGGTAAATATTAAAGTGCATATACAATACCATTCATGACCATATAAATTACCAGAAAGTATTACTCCTTCCGTTCCACAAAACCCTTCCTTTTTCTTTTTTTTTGCTTTCCACAAAACACTTCCACTTTCTATTAAAAAACCACTTTTACCCTACTTTTTCATACCCTACCTATCACATCATACTTTTTCACTAAGAACCAAACTATCACATCTTACTTTTTCCCATCACATCAGGAGGAAAATTGGAAAGTCAAACAAAATTACACTTTTCTTATTTTATCCCAAAGTCAAACCGGAAGGGTTTTGTGGAACGAAGGGAGTATGAAATTTCGATATACAATGTCACTTAACATAGTGTAAATTCCTAACTTGAAGATAAAAATACGAAACTCTCGCACTTTCTTTATATTTTATTCGATGGTAAAAGAACATGCGTAAGCAGAAGGATTATGCTATGTGTACCCCAAGATTTGTACCCCAATTTGTACCCCGCAGTTTTGCACCAACACTTTGTGTTGGTGTAAAACTAATTTTTGTTAAACGCACCAACATTTGTGTCCGTGTAAATATTTATTAACGCACCAACACTTGTGTCGGTGTAAACCATCGAAATGTTTGTGTAAGCCTGTGGTGTACAAATGGGGTATATTTTTTTGGTGTAAGTGTAGCATGGTCCTAGGCAGAATAACGTAGCACGTTATTAATACACAGATCAAGCCGTTGCTCCTAATAAATGTGTCAATAATTAGTGCAGCAATTGCACGGACAAAAATCCAACTCTAGCCATGCTTGGTAATTGGTCGGTCCCCATTACACCAAGGCGTTAACCACGTCACCGTTTGGCCTATACCTGCAATAAATTTGGAGTTTGTTGTGTTTTATATTCCTGCAATAAATTTGGAGTTTGTTGAGCTTTTAATTTCTGCAATAAATTTGCAGTCCTAAAACAGATGATTTTTATGTTTACTCTCTAAGTTTTTTATGTCATCTTGAATTAAATTTACATATTGAAAATTGTCTTTAAATATCATTAGTATTATAAAATGAGAGAAAAACTACTCAGAGATTAGGAAGATAAATATGATATATTTTTGATTTCTTCTCTCTATTGATTCTTCACTCTTCTTATTGTTCTTAATTGTGATTACAATGCAGGGATTAGGCCTCTATTTATAGTGGAGAGCCTTGGTATGGATACAAATACAAGTGGGAAGTAATGTACATAATTGATACTCATCAATGAGTGTCTTAATCTACTATTCTAGAAATTAGTTCTGATTAATTGAATAAATGAACAATCATTAATTTCATAACACTCCCCCTTGAATGTTCATTTTTCAATTAATGATGAGTACTTCGTGAAATGGACATAGTTTAGTAACCCATTCTAATTTTATGTACTGCCTCGTTAAAAACCTTGTCAGGAAAAACCCAGTGGGATAAAAACCTGATCAAGGGAAAAAGAGTACAGTTCATAAAATTCTCCCCCTCAGC